TCAGTACAAATCGGCAATTTCATACTTTAACCCCTATTATTTGGTTTCGTGTGCGAAATACGGTAGAAGTGTTTAGTATGTGTGCCACGAACGCCAAAAGTATGCGGATATATGAGCTCACTGAGGCTCAGGGCCGCCATTTTCGCTTGTACGTTTTGATGTTTGATGATTGTGTCAATTGTCTCGCGCAAAATCTCGAAAATCCTGGAAAAACGCCTTATCTTGCTATTTTGGAGTGCAAAAATGATAGTTGCACCTTCAATATTATCAATGGTAGTGTTTCATACCAACGTTAAGTCCTATTTTATTCAACTTTAATAAATTTTCAATTTTATGTTTATCGTATACTTAGTTCCAATCCATTTTGAACAAAAAGTAAACAAACAAGTCACTGACCCGACCATAGACGGTTTAGTGATGGCCAATTGTAACGCCAACCACACATCGATTAAATAATTGAATGAATCGATTTGTTCAATTGAGTCATACTAGCGGTTTTCCTTACATAACCTATATAAGCATATTTAAAATTTCAATTAAAATCCTCCTTCAAATGCTTACACTCAGGTACTCGTTCGATTGCGATTGAAATGTTCGATTACTAAACTTTAATTAATTCAACCGAATGTTTTTTTCGAACAGCACCATGCAACCATAGGCAAGTCATAGAAGTATAGATGAATAAACCTCACTTTTGGACTACCATTTTTCAAATACGATTCTACGATGCTATTCAAATGAATATTGTTGGAAAAAGTGATGATATATCAAGCCGAAATCTTCGAAATATTCGTGAAAGTGTTATTTATTCGATTTACTCAATAAATTTGATTGCTTTAGAATTTTAACCAAACAGGTTTGTTTACTTTTTGTTCAAAATGGATTGGAACAGACTATAATAACTTTTTTGTTTAAAGAAACTAAAGTAAACCTTTTACCCTCCTCCTACCTCCTTTTTTGGAGAACTAAGTAAACATCTCGAATTTTTTAACGCTACTCGTAGCGTTAATCGTTCGTTGTTGTTCAGCTATTACCGCTAGATGACAGCACATTGATTGAAATTTCAATATAACAACAGTTTTTTGTCGTTGTCCAAAGTCATTGTAGACAAAAAAATAAAAGATAACAATATTTCTCTATGTTTTGCATTATTAAAACAAACATGCTATTGACAAACTTACCGCAAGCGGCAGTGTAGAGTTCGTGTACTCCCTCTGACGCTTTGGGAAGCCATAACGCCATCACTTTCCTCCCGATTGCCACTGGAATCACCTTTACGAAAATTTATAAAATGTATAAGTAAGGGTTCATTTTCTGAATGTAAAATAAACATTTTCGAGCATGTTACAGAAAAATTTTCTTTTTCCCAACGAGTTCGATTACCAGGTGAGTTAGGTCGACCTTTTTAGTTGCAAAGTGTGACTGGAACTTGAACCTTGGTAGAGGGTCAAGAACACGTCAAGTTTGACGTTTAATATTTAAAATCAACTCTATACCGCTTATGATAAGAACGGTAGAAAGTATCAAGCATGATCTGCTCATGACTGTACCAAAGAATTCACTAAAAATCACAATGTTTGTTAAACAGGCAATGAATGTTAACCATACATTTTATTTAAAAAAAGACAGAAAGTCGTCAATGCTCATAAACAATTTGCTACTTCAAAAGGCAGTGTTGGTGTATTTTTATAAAAAACCGCATCTGTGGCCGAACGGTTACCATACTGGTCTGCTACACAGAGGTTCCGGGTTCGATTCCTGAGACGGGATAAATATTCGTATGGCAATACGACCTACATTTATTTCTCTCGTGAATTCGGGTGTAATTTATGGTTGTCAATGTGTTTGTCCATGGCACCTGCGATACAGGGTTACCCCAGTGCGGGGCTATGAGTGTGAGCGTTGTTATTATTATTATTGCTATGAACCTGGTTTTAGGGCGACAGTTAGAATACGCACCCATGACACCCATGTAAATACGAAATGACACAGTATACATATGTGACTAACAGATAAACTAACAGAATACTCAGCCTACAGTTCATTGCCCAAATTATTCCAACCGGGAATCCAACTCAGGACTTCCTTATCATATAGTCCACAGTGCAATTCGTTGGTCCACTGAGGTCATCGTAAATATCAATACTTACGAGAGTGAGAGCACTGGCAAGCACAAGCGAGATAGAAACGAGGACGAGCAGAGCAGCGAGCCGGACGGGGAACCACGCCACGCGCACGTACGGTTCGAAGCCCGCCGGACCATCGCGGCGCATTAAAGCCTGTAAACATAACAATGCTGTATCAACTTATAGATGTTCCACGTACGCATTCACGCACGCACACTCACTCACTCACGCACGCACTCATACACGCACGCACGCACGCACTCCACTGTGTGTGCGTTATGTACGTTAATACATGTAATGTATTCCCGCACACATAATTCAGGTAATTCGCATTTTTATTCTTAAAGCTCTGGATACAAAAATATTGTTATCACAGAAGAAGTCCTAGTTTTTTTAAATATTAGACAACATTACATACTATACTCTGCTCCCAAAGTAAGTAACTAAAGCACTTATGTAATGGAAATCGGCAACAACGACGGTACCATAATCACTCAAAACTGAGACAATATAGAAAAGTTAGTTTTTTAAATTGACTCGGCGGAGGATCGAACCCAGGACCTCAGAGATGGCGACACGACAGGTGGTCAAATATCATCGGTGTTATAAGTTCAAATATGTTACAAAACAAAAAGTTATGGAAATGACGTTTAGTACACCAATTTCAAAATTGCATAATAGTTTTCGATCAAACAAACATTGTTTTAGCTTAGGCAAGGTTTCAAGCAAGGCGGCTCGGAAGTGAATTTTAATGTCACGGTGACGGACAAAACTATAGAGACATCTAACCTGGTGTGCAGCACCCAATTGATGCGGAGGGTGAGGGTCCTGATGCGGCGGCCTAGCATCATGTCTGGAGGCTTCGCCCAACAGGTAAGATCGCAGGCCCAATACACCAGCTGCACACGCGCACCAACCGCGTAGACCCGCTTTCAGCCAGGTACGAGTGTGCGATTGTTCCAGAAGAGCTGGTAGAATCACCTGAAAGTAGATTTAATAATATACAACCGATATTTCATCAAAAATCTCACATGTGTTACATTATCAATGTTTGACAATCATGTAGGTATGCAGAATAGGTGCATGTTGACTTCCACAATATTGAAAAGATATCACTACAAGCAAGTTATTATCGATACAGATTCATATTATTTATAAACAAAAACCGCAAAGAAAACTAATATCAGAAAATAAAGTTATGGCTAATTTACACCTATTAGGTGATAAGGACAGGAAGAAGAAGGTGATGACTAAATTTTAATTTAAGTTTAAGTAGTCTAACGTTTACACATAATATAGTGAAATATAAGTGTAATATCTAGTAAAGTCTTAAGTTCTTTGACACAGTTAAGTTCTTTGACATTTTGCAAACAACACGTTAGCCTACTAAAAGCTAAAGCAACGCCTACCAGGGGATACGCGAGGTGCGAGAGGGTTGGATCCACTTGTCCACTAATTCAATGATTACTTACTTAACAGCTGTTAAGTGATTGTTTACACGCGTAAATTAAGTTAAAACTTAGATAATGACTTTGTTACTTTATAGGTGTAAACTAGGAATTAGGTAAGGTACCTGCAGTAAAAGTAGTTCCAAGCTGAGTTCATTGACTGGCGCCTCGGTATGTACGGCAACAGCGTACGGCAGGAACCCAGGCAACACGTATTTGATGACGCGTATGGGTAGCCATAGCATGAACAGGACGGCAATACCGAATATCATCGCCGACACCACTAGCCGCCGAATGTGAGACCATACGGAGAGGTGAATCATTTCCTTAAAATAAATAGGATGGTTGGTAATTACATAGTTACTTTTTTTAAGTTACGTTTTTTAGTTAATTAATAAAACAAGTATGATAACTCCATACAAACATAGCAGCGTGGTTTGTACGTGTACTCTCGCGTTGCATAACTCTGGTCGCCCCAACGCGCTTTTCATTGTTATGTGAATATGTGCGTAAGTACACGGCGCGCGGCTGTCACGCACACGTACAACCGCGCTGTTACTTTGTACGGAGTTACCATACTTCTTTTATATTACTATGGTAATTAACTATAGCTATATACAAAAACGACCTTATCGATACTTTAGACCAAACAACAACGAATGAAAGATAATAATTTATAAACATTTAGGTTAACATCACATTCATTTTTGTACTTATGTTTACATAAAAAAGCAAGTTTTATCAAATAACAAAACATAAGTAGAAAGATTGATAAAGCCTGAAATTTTAACCCAACAACATCAATAAATAAGTATCAATCAAATTGGCTGTTACACCCTTTCTTCTCTGGGGTATCAATAAAAAGATCTCAAGAAAAGACGATGTTTTGCTACATGTATATTTAATTCAGAATACTCTTAAATAAATTACATTCAAAGATGTGTTTTGTAACATCGTACATAAATGTTTTTAAAATTCGTCTCACGTGTTAATGTTTTTTAATATTGAACCACGTGTTTTATTTGACTGCCAATAGTTGAATATTTTTTCTTAGTTTGTACTACTAAGAGGCAATATATGAAAGAAATTCCAAAATTTGCGTTTAACGTTCCACACTTTTTCCTTAAAAATCCATAAACTCAATTTAAAACCTATATAACCAACATGCTATTTGTCTTGAAAAAACCGTACAAAAATTTTGGTCCCTTTTGTCGTTGTTGGTTACTTTTGAAACTATAAAATAACAACAGGTATTAGTGTCTTGATCTATACTAAATGTGAAGGAGTTTAATTAGTTGATATACAAAATAGGATTCAACTTCATTTGTATGGAGCGCCAAACCATCTTTATCTAATTATAAAACCGTAATATACTAACCTGCACCGGACTAAAGTCAGGATCATTCAGGTTTTTCAAGAACCAAAGTACGCCTGGTCTCAGTACTTCTCTTAGCAGTAGTATGAATGATGCGAAGTAGTAGACATAGACCATTCCAACGAGCCAGTGTATGAACATGAGGGTCCAGGGAGCAGCTTGAAGACTTGCTTCACGATCCTTGAGGGTTGCGTCGAACATCGTGAGGGAACATAGGTCTAGCCACCAGCCGCATACTAATGGGATTACGCCGATCTGTGGAAATTTTGAATAATTGGCTTTTTCTTAGCAGTTCACATTATATGAACTAGACGCTGCAAACGGGCCTTATAAAAAAAATGACATAATACTATATCGTAGCAATAAATAATTCTATGCACTTTATAAAACATAAAGCATAGTTTTGTATTAGTAATCAGATCATGCATATTGCATTAAATTATTGTAAAGTACTCTGGCATAATTTTTTTTCTTAATTGAAGGAAATAAAAAAATCTAATATTTTCTTAAGAAATTAAACTGTTTTTCGTATATAACACGCGTATTTGTTTTTTCAAACAAACCAACACGTCACGGCTGACAGACTGAGTCAGCCGTGACCATGGGTCCAGGGGGATGGTCTCCATCCGAAACAATTACTGTCAAATAAGTAATGCTTGACGAAATCCAAGGAATGTCAAGTATGAAACTTCATTTGCATCATCTGTCTTTTAATTTGATTGAGTATCACTTATTTCACAGTAATTGTTTCAGCAGGATGTCAAACGGAGAACGGGACGGAGCAATTAATATACGTGACTTAGATACAAAAAAAGTTTCATTTCCTATGTACGACAATCACATTCAATCATTTCTTTTATTCTTTAGGCTGTATAGTGTGTAGGTGTTAGTAGAATTTAAATAAATTAAGAAAGAATATTAGCATAATAAATTAATTCATTATGCTAATATTACATTATCATCATCATATCATTTGATTTCTGTCACTGTGTTTATCGGATGGATTTATAATTAAAAGCTTTATGTACAGATGGCAGTCCATCAATCTGTACATTGACTAATGTTGTTCCGTTGCACTGGAGGTGATATTGAAACTAAAGTGTCAAAGCTCATCGCTTTATATGCTGTTTTTTGTATATGAAAACAAAAAATTATGTACATTTTATTTTTTGACTTGTGATATCTGTTTTTTAATATTAATATTTTTCTCAATGGATCATTTAAATAAAAGAAAATTCTAAGTCTAAATACAAAAGTTTGAATTTTCACAAATTAAAGCCTTGTTTAAATCTCTTCTTATATTTAATGCCTAACAATGTTATATCATGTTGTATGGACAATTTACACAATCTGTATAATTGTGGAGGATTATTATTTATTACCATTTATTGGCAACACTAATTACATTGCTGTTAAGTTCTTGCTATGCCCTTTCATGTTTAATATAGAATATTTCTATTGCATTGCCTTGTTGCTTTATTAGTACCACCATTTCAATGACCAAGTTACTTATAAACCTTTACCTTATTCTAAATATATGTCTGACTTGTAAAGGCCATTTAATATTGCAACACAAGAGGTTGTTGTTATTATTATCGATGTAGACACCACAAATTTACTAGGAAAATAAAAAACCTGTTAATGTATGTTAATTGGCAGCAATACTTAATGGAGCAGGAAAAGTGCAATACATACACTATTGCATGATTTGTACATATCATAATTACAGTAGATGAACTAAAACATGTATGGTATGGTGTGAAGGGCTGGAGCAGGTAACTTGACTTTTAAATGCCTATTTTGAGTGTAATGTTAAAACTAAAACACTGTATAGTAATTTACAAGTAACTATTTTGGCTAATAAATAAATTAAATGGGGCCAGGTTCATAGCAAACAATAGTTGTAATGGAAATTAAAGTCACTTGTCATTTACTTCAGTTCACATAATCTGTTTCAGCCTATTATCCATAGCCTGCATAATCTGTCTACAGAAAAATAAAAACTTACCTCCACAACAGAGAGCAGTGCAACTTTGACAACTACGTAGCAAAATCCCAATGCCTTCTTAGCACTCCTGAGCCTCAGCAATGATGCCACTCCATGCAGTACTGCCAACACTGTTCCAACTATCATGTACCCCGCCAGGGCAGTCAGAGGACCACCAAATGGTCCCTCAGCTGCCAGCCCTGCTAATGCAGCTCCCAATCGCCCAATATGGTAAGGGCAGAAAGCAAACACCACTATGAATAATGTGTTCAGGGAAACAACCCAAAACACATGCTCCAAAAATACCATTGATCCATCCAAACCGAGTAATCGTGCCCATGTCAACTCCTCAGCGGCCGCTCGGTCCCATTCCATTGGATTCCAATTCCCTTCATCTCCAACTAGTGGGTCTTCCGCTCCTTCCCCATTTCCCTCATCCTGAGGTCCACCCTCATTTGGTGCCCCATCATTGACTCTATCATTATTATTGTCTGGCAGAGGCATATCCTCTGCAGCAGGAATGGGCAAAATCTCCCTCTCCATCCAATCCGGACCTCCACCATGCATAATCTGCTCTCTCAGCCACACAAGCCCGATAAATGAAAACAAAGTGCATGTAACCACAAAACAGCCAGAGAACACATCTTTTGCCAGATTCTCAGCAGATACAATATCAAAAGGCAGAGAAATGACGGGGTCCAGCGAACCGGAGAATAAGCAGCGATAGGTTCTGCAGGCAGTAAGGGGTACGATGCCCAGCCACGCGAGCGCCACCAGCGTGTAGTGCAGCCAGTCCTTTACCGCCGACGCTACCGACGTTACCAGCCCGCCAACCACATCGCGGAGCGGCAGTCGCCGCGGCATATCCGGAGAGTAAATCGGCATAAACGAGAACCGGTGCCCGCACAACTCGCAGATCTCTTTCCGCGAATATCTCATCCATTGCACTAAACACTCTTGATGGATCCATTTTATCGATCCCGTACAGATACACGGATGGAACAGCGGCCGATCTGATGAAGCCTCCGATCGACAGAAACGGCAGAAGTCCGCACCGGACGAGTCCGAATCCATCATTCTTTGTTTCTTCAATCCAGTTTGACTGCTTGGGCGATCTGCGAAAGTTGATTATTCACATAATCCTCAACTATTGAAGGTACAGTTCATGGATGTTATAGAGCAAAATACGGACCTTGATTTATAAAATTAAACGATTAAACGAAGTACAGTTGATTTAATGGAAAAATATGGATCTTTTCACTACTTTATTTGCTAACCACACGAAAAAGTGTGACCAGCTTCGCTTACGAAAAGCTACCATGTCAATTGTCACACGATGATCAATAATGAAGGCTTTTCAGTTTTTTGTAAAATCCTTCAGTTACAAACATGCATTTCACGCCTTTTTCAATTAAACAGAGACCTCAGCCTTCCACTAACTATGATCTTCATCAGTACAGATGAGTAAAAAATTATTGATTAAAAGAAAAATAGTGGACAATATTAACTGTTAATACATCTACAGTTAATTTATAGAACATGCAATCCGATTGGATATCATTTTTTATCACCGGTTGTTTTACATTATGCATGGCACATTTTACTATATATTGTATTTTTTCACTAATTGCGTATTATCTTCAAGGAACCTGTTTATTATAAGAAGACATAATATATAAAGTTCATTTACATCGTCATGTGATAAAATTAATAATTAGTTACAACAAAGTTCAAAATAATTTAGTAGAGTTTACGTAGTATTAAATAACATAATTTTTGTGAACCGGCAAAATAATTTTAGTTTACTAAATTTTTTCCATGATAGTATGATATTTCATATTGATGGCAATTTCAATATAAGTATTTTTTATTTATAATAGCTTTGGCCATGGGGAATTTATCACATTTATTCTTGGTTCCATCTAATCTTTGGCAAACATGTTTGTTGTGTTTGCCATATAGTCTAACGTGTTTGTAATAAAATTTGATAATGAATAAACATTCATTCATAGAGACAAGTTAACCAATATACCGCCATTTTACCATAAAAATGCTACACAGAAATTTACTTAGGGTTCTATTCGTCCAAAATACATTGACCCACACGCGGTCAGCAAGTGAGCGACGTTTTTAAAGTAACGAACACGAAACTCATTATTTCTAGAAATTGAGAACTTGGGAGTGTTGCCCCTTAAAATAACGCGTGTTTTACATCTTAGAGGATAGAAAAAAGTTACATACGTTCATTATTCACTTAGCATCATAAAAAATCGATCGCTTATTGAATCAGTACAGTTATTCTTGACGAAAGGAATTTATCATTTATTGATGAAACTAGTTTAGATTGAAATCCTTGTTGCCAAAACCAATAAATTAAAAAAATTGACGTAAGGAACCACCAAAAAACAGTCTTAATTTATCTATTTTCTATTTTAATTGTTTTTATTTTCTCGTATTTAAAATACGAAATGTTTTTAGAATAACAGCTATCATGTCTGTCCCAATGTTTATCAAATAAAAGAAAAAAATAACCAAGACTTGGTTGTATGGTTTCAAACCTTCGCCTTTTTGTTTACGAAAATAATTTTAAAAAACCAAGGTTTGTCAACTTGTCAAATGGACATAGTTTGCAAACTAGAACCAACCCACAAAATGTCGCTTTCGAGATAATTAGATTTGTACAAAAACATGTGAAGAAATAAATAAGGTGAGTTATTTGAGACAAACAACGTGAGTTATTATAGAAACTATTATATTATACAGCAATAAATAGAAAACATTATGTATCTTTTTATATTTCGTTAAGGAGAATCATGTTCTAGTTTTTCTACAGTACTTCAGTACATGTGACATGGATCTATTTAGCATATAAAAAAAAAACATAGTGAATGGTTCTTTTTAGCTATTAAAAAGTTACTTATTTAGGGTTGGTACCCCAAATGACTTTTATTTCCTCCGTTTTGGCTTGGTATATTGCCAGGATCTTTTATGGGCGGGTAAAGGACACGTCTGGTGTTCTATCTAAATCATCAAGTATATAACGAGGAATAGAGACGAAATGTCATTTAATTTGTTTGAAAATTATTCTGCCAAATGACAACTGGTGACAACTGCGCTCCGATAGGCCAGCCCGAATTCGAAATATACTTTAGAGATGGGCAAGCAAATATTATATTATCGAAATCGATAGTACATATCGACGCCTTACTTTCTCAAACACTTATAGTAAATATTCATAAGATGGCAAGAATTTCTATTAATTTAAAATTTCTTATCAAGGATGTTAATTTGGAATTGTTACTTTACGAATAGGTTAAAGCCAGTGTGTGAATATGAAGGAAATTTGATGTGAAATCATCCTGCAAATATGTATATGTATACAATGTATTTTTTGCATTTCGGTTACTTTGTTTTTTAAGATACGAGTTTGAGAAAGTAAGGCGACGATATGGCATTATAAATAACCATTACCTGTTTTTTACCGATTTCGAATTGTGTAGTATTGTTAGAATCCATAGTCATTCCGAGTGAGCATTGCTCACTCAACAAGTACTGGATGTATTTATTACATATTTGTACGCTTTTGTCGAATAAAAACTTTTTTTACAATTTTCCCTGTACTGTGTTTTAGATATTGACGTTGTACGATTTCTTCATTAAGCACACCAATTTTCTTTAAAGTGTCGCCGTCTTTCACTTTTATAATTTTTTTTACCTATAATTCTTTTTTATAATTATTAATACAAAGATCGAACACTCAGAAAAAACTCCTTCGATCCGACCGGATTCGAACCGACGTCTTCTAGCTTACTGTGTCAGACGCTATACCAACTAAGCCACGGCACGAACCAGCGGACCTCACGAATTTTTCTATGTGCTTGCGTCGTGTCTTTGTATTTGGTTTTTTCAACGACTTTTTAGTCGTAGCGCCATCTATGAGAAATCTATGAAAGATTCATCACCCAGTTAGTACATTTACAGCTACCAGTCCTGGCGAGAGATGTCGCTATTCACTGTATTTTAAATTTTTATTGAATTGATATTCATTTTTTTTGTGAAATTACTATACGTATAGTGTATAGTATGATTTTCTACGACTTTAAGTGTAATTTAACAGCTCAGCGGAGCTTCGCTCAGCTTCAAACTGCTTTTGGCGATGAAGCACCATGCATAACGACTATAAACTATAGCTGGTTTGCAGAATTCAAACGCGGTCGTGTGAATCTCAGTGACGAATTTCGAAATGGTCGCCCGTCCGCTGCTGTGAAGAACAAAAACATCGAAGCTGTGCGCCGTATGATCAAAACAGACAGGCATGTGACATACCATGAGATTCGGACATCTTTAGGCATAGGCATGAGTCAAATACAATCAATACTACACAAACATTCGGGTGTGAAAAAGCTGTGCTCTCGGTAGATCCCACACAATTTGACTGAGGCTCAAAAAACGGATCGCGTCACTTGGTGCAATGCCATGCTTACCAGATTCAACGAAGATGCCTCAAATTTGGTGTGGGACATAGAAACAGGTGACGAAACATGGATTTATAGTTATGATCCCAAAACAAAGCAGCAATCGAGCGTATGGGTCTTTCGAGATGAGCCGAAACCAACCAAAGTGGCGCGCGTGCAAAATGCCTCTAAGTGAATGATTGCTTATTTTTTTAATAAAACTGGACATGTGGCTACTGTTGCTTTGGAGAATCGTTGTACCATGAGTAGTGATTTGTACACGACCATTTGTTTGCCGGAAGTTATTGACAAACTTCGTAAAAATAACCGTAAACGCCGTATCATCTTGCACCACGATAATGCCAGTTCTCACACGGCCAGACAGACAAATGAATTTTTGAAAAGTCGTGAAGACATCCATGGAAAGATATGGAGTGGTATTATATTAGGCCAACACCACACGGCCATAAGAAGTTAAATATATAAATTTACTCTAAACAAAAACAATTTTCCTGAGCAATAAAAACGAACGACAATCTATCACCTAATAGTCAGTGTTTCTTGTGCATAAACTGACATACTTATAAAATCGATACATTATACTCATGGCTCAATGTTTAACTACGACGACGTTAGATGTAGTTTTTTTTTTACTTTACCGATTGTTTAAATAAATTATTACACAGTAATAATTATACTTGCAAATATCGATACATAATATGATTTTTTCAGTGTAACACTAGCAACGCGTGCCCAATGAAGAGAATGAGATGACGTAATGGGAGTTCCATTAGGTGGAAGCAAAATGCACAAATGATTTGAAACAATTGATGGGTGTTGTCAATTGTTTCACTGCAAATCGACCTGTTTAACTTGAGCTATGCTATAATGGAAGAAAATTGAAAAATTACATATTTAATATTTAGTTACCGGTGAAATGTGATTCCCTTTGTTTTTTTAATGTTTAATTAGACATTTTGCTGTTTTTCCACCACCGAATAGAACAGCACGGCATTGTTAGAGATATTATCTTTATTATAATAAATGCAGAATATTTTTTGAAATATACGGAGACAGGTCAGTAGTTGGCCTGTCTATATTTCACTGCAAACGAGAGTTGATATTTATAAGAGCTGTATCGCTAATATGTTACCAGGAATATATGGCCCTTATTTCGTCTCTATTTCTGGTTATATTATACTCGATGGCCTAAATACATAACTCAATTTCACTCGAGGTGTGGGTTGGTTCTTGTTTGCATAACTGTGTCCAAATGTAAACGTCAAACACAGCTGATTGACATTTGAAATTGACGTGGTATTTGACGATATCTTTCTAATTTGTGTTTGACGCACATGTGAGTATTGTGAGTCGCGTCGTGTTGTCGTTAATGTTGTATAAATTTATTAGAGAAATGTAACTTGAGACAACTAATTTATTAGTGTATTTTTGGGCAAATAACACGTAAGTTTCACATTGACAATTATTAATTAAATATGTGTTTAAATTGTTTGAGTACAATGAAATTCAAATTCCTATAGAAACTTAAAAACCTACTGGAACTATAATTACTTATCTACATTCACAATAATAATATAGGCGAGCTTCTTATTAATGTGTACAAAAAGCTAAGGTAATGGTAGCGTTCTTTAGAAGTCACGTATCCCTATGGTACCTACTGGAATTTCTGTAATTTCCTGTTTTTCGCGTTCCGATAAATGTTATGGTTATACTTGCGATAAACAGCCTTTACTGAGTAACGACATTTTTCTTCTCAAGTACTGTGGCTGCGTGTTGTATACTCAAATGTTATCACTGGGCAATTTAATGTGCTGAAAAATTAATGTGTGATGTAAAAAACCTGATAGAATAATTAAGTGTGTCTTCTTCTAACAATAAATAGTTATGATAGTGTTACTGTAGTGGAAATAAAACAATTTTTTTATATATAAATTGCGTATATTTGTTTTTGTGAACAAATTAATGTTTCGGGCTCTTAAATGTTCCCATGGTCTCAGCTGATTGTTGCTTAAACTTTATAGATACAGGGGCAAATGTGGCTAATTCATTTGGGAAAAAACCAATTACATAATAATAATGTTTTTTTTTTTTTTCAAATTTTAGCAGCAATGTAACAAACCACATGTCACAAAAAACTGTGATACAAGATGAATTCATCAAAGGAGATTTTAATAAATATAGAAGAACCACAAACCAGCAGTGAACCTAAAAAAGCTGCAGTGAACATACTATGTTTAGACATAACAGCATATAACCCATTGGCACAATTCTCATGCTGTTGTATATTTGTTTTTATATGCTATCTTGCTTACGGATACTTTCTAGAATTAATATACTCAAAGGAGGATCACAAATCTTTGATATTTTATATAACATTAGTTCAATTTATTTTCACATTTCTGCTCAGTTACTTAGAATCATTGATGAGAGAGAAGATAACCAGGACGTAAGTATAATTGTGTGTTTTTAATATACCAGCATGAAGAAGAATAAAATAATTTATTTCATGTTATTAATGCCACAATATTACCATTTTAAATATAAATTCAAGGGATGACACTCATCACAAATATAAACAGTAACAATTATTAATACAAGGATTGGACATTAAGAAAAATGTCTTTGATCTGGCTGGGTTGTGCCTGACGTCTCTAGTCAGCCACCAGTAGCTGTAAAGAAAGGTTTCTCGCAGATAGCGCTACAGAAAAAAGTCATTAAAAACCAAAAACATAGATCTGCAACAAGCTAGAAAAATGAATAAAGTCTACTGTATTGTTCCGTGTCCCAGTTTGAGTTCCCAGTACCATAGTGTGCTGAAAGTGTTCGTTCCAGCCGGATCGAAGGAATTTTAGTATTTGATTTTTGTATTAATAATTATAACAAACTAGTGGAGTAATTTCACAAAAAAATAATTAAATATCCTGGTAGTACATCATGACATTCAATAAACTAAACAATAACAGTTAATATGCAACAAAATAGTATAACTGAAAAAAGTTCAAAATATTGTCAATCAAATATATATTAAGTTAGTATAAATTTCTTCAAAAGAAAATACTCTGCACTAAAATTTATTATCAAAAAGAAGTACATATTACTACATTCTCAGTGGATTTGAGACTCCATATTTCCATAAAATATTTGTGACAAAAATTAGTATTTATCTATACTGAATGCTCTGTGTGTGCTAATTTAAAAATTATTTATTCATTCATGGCATGGCATAATTTGAAACAATATTAAAAAATCCTTCGTAGTAACTAATAATATTGTGTTGAATATATACTATAAATACTTTTAAACTAGACTACTTGGAGAAATATAGTCAAAAGAACCAAAATAGAATCACATGGTTTATGGAAACTGACAATGTATTTAACAAAATTTATAGGAATGCGTGTAAATTCATTCTTATATAAGATATACATTCTTTTGTATATAAAACGTGACTTCAAATTGAATTAGATGAATTAACTCATAATTATTTTTCAGGGTACCACTACATACATATGCCTTATTAGCAGCTCTCACCCTCGGGACAATGTGCTTTTCCAATCTAGCACTGAGCTACCTCAATTACCCAACACAGTTAATATTCAAGAGTTGTAAACTTATACCTGTGATGGTAGGAAGTATAATCATAATGCAGAAGAAATACGGATTTTTAGACTATATAGCTGCTATTATTATGTGCATTGGATTGACTATGTTTACTTTGGGTAAGATATGATAATTTTCAATTTATTTACATTGAACAATAACAATTAAAATAAACAAAATTGGCCCATTCCTTTGAGGTCTCTATGGTTACATTGGAGGAACCCATTTTAAACGACAAATTCAACATCTACGAAGAAGGTTGGCGACATCCCGTGTATTTTGTGACCAAGCGTTTCTGACGCCGTGCATTAAGGAGACCTATCAACATTTGTGATTCATTATCAAAGCATCAAAAAGCTAATTGAGTGCTGCCTGTAGAAGCTGGGGTTATAAAGTTGATATAGGTTATTTTTATAACATTGTCCAGTATTTCGCATCAGATGTAAGTTCGTAGTAGCGGAAAACAACAAGTTTTCCGTTTGTTCCCAAAAATAATAAAGAACTGCCCAAATATTCCCAGTATTTGCCATACTCTGCCACATTTAATATAACTTATCATGTTCTGCAGCAATGAAAATGAAAATATAAATTAAATGTTGAGTAAATGTTTTTTTTTTGGGTATTTTTTTGTATTTATTATTTGGGTATTTATTATTTGGCTTCTGTCCCACTGAGGACAATTCTGCCAGTGTCCGGGTTGAAAGATACTTACTTAAATTAATCACACTGTTCTCAATATCAATGTGACATTGACATTGGCAAGAGGTCTTTTGTCAAAATGTTCCTTTGCAACTTTCATAATCTGTCATTTAAATATTGTCTAAATAGTGTTAAATTTTTTGCTTTATGACATTACTGTTTAATTGATTATTTCATTAGGTATTTCATAGCTTTAATGTTTTGTGTGTGTACTATAAAACATCCACTACTTCAGGTAGGTAAATAATCAATCATGCTTAAAATGCAACGTACGTACAAGAACGTTACGTAATCTATGGTGGAACTGAATCAAGTGCGTCCTGTTCTTGCATCTATTCTAAAATACAATGTTTTACAATTATTTTTATTCCCAAACTTCTAAAAATATACAGAAATATATTGATAACTAGGCATAAAATAAAACGCAAAATTATACTAGCAAAGTCCATGAACGGCTCTTCGTCGTTATTGGGGCAGCTTTCGCCATCCTTCTTTGAGACAGTTATGGTCAAATTAAAAAAAAACTATGTGGATCGTAAAAATAAAAAAAGCCGTGGTAATAGCCGTAGTTTTAGAGTTACCGTCTTTTTAAGCAGAGGCTGTGGGTTCGAATCCGGCCTCGCACCTTTGAGTTTCTCGGAATTTATGTGTGAAATTTCATTTGAAATTTGCCATGAACTTTTCGGTGAAGGAAAACATAGTGATAAAACCTGCATGTCGAAGAAGGTGCACAACCCTCGAAAAACAAGGTCTCAACCCGCATTGGGCGACCTTGGCGGACTATGGCCTAAACCCTCACCTGAGAGGAGACCCCTGTTCAGCCACTGCTGAACAGGGGTCTCCTCCCACCCAGGTCCCACTGAACGTATATGGATTGACGGGCTGATGGGATCGTAACAATTAATTCTATGCCAAAAGTCCGTGTTATATTGTCAAGATGTATTCTAAAGCAAAAAATCTTTCCAGCTGACTCGAGCACGTCGCCTAACTTCGATTTTGTCGGAGTAATAGTAATATCTATGGCGTTACTTTGTGATGCAGTGATCGGTAACGTACAAGAAAAGGCAATGAAAAAATATCAAGCTTCCAACAATGAAGTTGTGTTTTACTCGTACGCCATTGCCAGTATGTATCTCTTCGTCTTTACTGCTTTAAGCGGGATATTGACGAGTGGATATACTAATTTAGCTGACGTAAGTTTTAATTTCAATTACTTAAAAAGTCGAACTGTATAGTCGATGCCGTAAGGGCGCATTCCCATTATGTCGTGACGACAGATAGTCGTGCAGTTTGAAGTGTCGTGGCTTCTAAATTCAAATGAAGTTGTTCACACATAGAACAACACGATTAACTGTCGTTCACGACTTTTTTGAAGTTACGACGACTGACTGTCGTGACAATGGGAAAAGCTAGAACGACAGTCGTCCAACGATAAATAAATCGTCACGATAAAAATGTGACGACAGGTAATCGCAGCTTCAAACGATTCTGTCGTGCAAACGACAAGGCGGCTTCACGGTAGCTGCCCGCCTGCCGTGTGTAATTGTTCTCACTGGATCACTCCAGTGGGAACAATTACACACGACAATCGTTCAACGATAAAATAAATGTCCACGTCAGTCACGACAGATTTCATGATATGGGAAGAGGCTAGACGCGACAGTTGTCCAACGATAAATAAAACGTTACAACATAACGGGAACGCGCCCTAAGATACCTGACCCACTAACCGTCTATTTGGTTCCGAGTACATCGATGTGAAGAAAGGTGCTAAACAAACTTATGTAAAATTTAACCTATGAGCCGTAAAATTAATTTTGGTATAACTACCTTATCGCATCATTAGTGAATGACGTTTTAAGAAATTTTTTAAGCTAATTTTATCTTTTTATTACATTACAATAATATAAACATAATGCAAATTTCAAAATAAAATAAATACAAATTTTGAACCAAAAAGGTGGAATTCCTTTACACTTTTCTGTTAAATGCTTAAAAAGACTCAGAACCAAAAGGTCGACTAGGGTAGCGGGTATAGGGTGGTGGCACCGGTGATCGAAAAGCATCAGTGTTCAACACCTTTTTTTAAATTAATTTTTAAGAAGATTTTGGAAAAAATTTTCTATCATAGTAACACGTTTCTTATTGGTAGTGTCAATTATTGGGTGTTCATTGTTGGTGAGTGCCGATTACTGGTTAGTTAATAAGTGGGTTTTTGGTGTTCATTACCGGAGATTTAGAGAAATTCTAAATTAGGTTTTTCAAGTAATAATTATAATAACTTTTTTATGAAACATACCAAAGCATTAATCTTTCTTAAGAATTATATTTGTCGAGTAAACTAATCACTATTGATATATGTTTAAAAACAACAAATTTTTTCAAATTTACACATCTTTCCCTTAAAATATCGATTATTGTTACCATCACCTATGTAACTATACAAATATATCTTAATATCCAAAGCGTCATGATTTCGTGACCACCACCTTTTTATCCGCTTACGTTTGTTAAACAATCATGCGAGTACGGATGAACGGATTGTAATGTTAAAGAGATTGATAAATAAGGTTCTTTTCAGTTCCTATGTATGTTTTAAACCAAAAATGTTAGACTCTAGGCCTCGCCTTGTTGCAATGTTTTAAAGAAGTAATTTATTCTATCACCCGACCATAGATGTTAAAAGTCTGGCTCTGCAATGGTAGCCTTAAGTAGCCAAAAGTTTTGTTGGCCGTTAACGGGAAAAACAGTAGAGAATCAATTCTTGATTCTTTTTTCTACTGTTTTTAAGCATTCATAGGTATCTGTAGGTATTTGTAGAGTAAAATTTACAATCGTAATGTTCTTATCTTGTATTTCATGCCTAGTACTTTTATATTTCGCATATCTAAGGCGTGCTCAGTTCTGCGTTAAATCGAATTTAAGTGAACAATTGTTCTGACCCACTGCACTTCATACAATTATGTCCACTTATTGTACACAGGTGTCCTCGAACGAGTGCATACTAAATGCGAGAAACCCACGAAATATTTCAATGACATTTATAGCTCTCAGCGCAAAAGTGATGGAACCCACTAAAAATATTTAAATATACAATAATTATGTACTTTTGTATCATTTAAAGTAATATTGTATTTCTACAATATTGCTTTAAATTAAATGATATTTTTAATGATAGAAAAATTAAATGAAATACAGACTGTACAGGCAGATAGTGTCCAAGCTATCTTAATCATTGTAAATGATGGCATATTACTGTGATTTTTAACTATTGTATGGAGACAATTGATGTTTAAGATTGATTTTTTAAAATAATATCTGTATTTTTATCATTAAACTCGAATGTTATTTTATTCCCGTTCGATGGCGGCAATAAACAAACATTAATTGGATTTTTGTATTTCAATTGTTACCACTACCAACTACTGGTAAATCCCATTTGTCGCCAGTGGCAACAACAGATCTTTTTATCCCATTTTTGAGGTTTTTTTATTCCGTTTGTCAACATCTGGTAAAATAAGGGGTTTATTTATCCCATTTGTCGCCAGTGGGAACAAAGCCAGTGGTAACGACTGGGAATAAGCAATTTATTTTTATACATTTATTCATTATCATTTTCTCGATTAACGCACAAACGAAAGACTGAGCTTATCTTGTGATAAATTCCTACGTGTAATATATATATTTTCCATTACGTTTTCCAGCAACCAATTACAATCTACATAAACATCTTCCTGCTAAGTCTTAGCGGGTACCTGGGCCTGCAAGCAGTACTAACTCTTGTCCGCATATGCGGCGCGACTGTCGCTGTTACGGTCACCACTATGCGAAAAGCTGTATCAATCATCATATCGTTCCTGCTTTTTAGCAAGCCTTTCGTTTTCCAGTAAGTTGTTTTAGTATACATGCATTTCTTAGGCTCTGCTGCGGAATGGAATGGAAGCGAATTTTGGTATACATAGCATAATGAACTTTATGTTAGTTATGTAACGTACAAACTAGATACGAGCCAAAAAACAGAATTCTCGCGCGGTATCGAGAATTTCTGCAGCTACCGTATCCAGTTTATCTGGTTTGTACGTTATACTATTGGAATAAATTTTATTATGCTAAGTACAATTACATCACAAAAATTTGCTTCCATTCCGTTCCGCGGCTAAATAAATTCAGCTTTAACCTACTGATATGTAGTTCTTAATTAAAAATTGAATTGACATAATAAAAATCGGAATTAAAGTTTTTTGTACATAGTTTTTTAGTGTTCTTGTGAATCTATCAATATTTTCAAAGGATACGCGCCATCGATTGAATATGACGAAAACAACAATTAAGAAAACAATCACGTAAGCAAAACAAACACTAGCCATCCTTTTATGCCATAATCGGTTTGCACTGTGGATGAGGAGGTCCCGGGTTTGATTCCCGGTATGACCAATTAGGGAAGTAAGATTCCTAAACTGAATTCCGTCGCTCAGGTACTCATAGCACAAGGAAATACCTTGTTTGAAACCAGGGAATTAGTGTGATTCTCTGGCATATTATTATTACGTTATGCGACTAAGGTTCGCTAACATAATTAAGCCTACAAATGTGCTGTTTGCATCAGTGCGGTCATAAATAATATATGGTAAATTCCCAGGTACGTATGGTCGGGCATGCTCGTAGCACTGGCGATATACTTGAACCACTGCAGCAAGAAGCGACCCAACTATGTGCCGGCACCTTTTCGTCGCTGTTGGCAACTCATCACCTCCTTCTACCAGTCGGAGTATAGATATCTTCAGATTAAAACCAAATTGTACTCTGATACTGTATAGAATATAGGAGTTATTTATTAGCTATTTAATACAATATGTATTTCCGGTCGTAATGAGTGATACTGAGTGGCTCATTGCAATCAGACCTCTTAATTAAATAACTATTATAAGTGGCGTAACATGTACAGGAAGCCGATATTTTGCAGCGAACCAAAGGATTTTTTACTTTCAGTATCATTTACCGGATAAACTGTACGTATTTGGTTAGTAGATAAGCATTTGCAAACTTGTAGATAGGACACAACCCGACTGAAATATGTGGACATGTTATATTATAGAGTATGCGTAGTAAAAATGGCGACGCCAGAAATTGACTAGTTAATGTATAAAGAAAACATCTTCGAATATAAAGTCACTAAGTTTTATTCTAGAAATGCCATTTTTTGGTGTTGCCATTTTCACTGCTCATACACAATCGGTAGCGTGCGCTTGCGTACGATCGGGACGCCTGATCCAACGAACCACAAATTAGAAAGGTATACAAGGGAATGAACTGAACGGCGCGCCGATTGCATTTGGCGGCGGCGGCGGCCGGCGCGACGTGCCGCCACGGCCCTCATATCTAATTTGTATACGTGATTCTGTGAAATTATTAAACTTTATATAAAAAAGTTCGATCATTGATTAGCTGGTTTTTGTTATCATGATTCATTAATTCATATAATACTATTGTACTGTAACTAAGTTCATTTATTTTGACGTTACTCAAATTATTATGTTTTTGTAATCTAGTTACATTTTAGAAATGCAAATGAGGTGCCCTCATGGAATTTAATATGTCAGTCAGTAATTTAAACGCGGTGATAGTTATGTGGGTCAATTTCTATGATAATCACCCCTCGTGGAAGAATGGCATAAGTAGAGTTACGTCAAACATATTTATTGCTCCATTAGATACAGAAAAATATAACTCACACCCTCTCCAATTCTTGTAACTCTATCTACAATATTAGTCGAGTTACAAGAATTGAAGAGGATTTTGCTTGGATTTGACTTAACTCCACTTATGCCATTCTTCCACGAGGGGTGATTATCATAGAAATTGACCCAAATAACTATCACCGTGTTTAAATTACTGACTAACTTATTAAATTCATGTATGCACGCCCATTTGATAGTGTTAAAAAAATAACTGGTTAGTCTGTTGAAGTGCATGTGAGTAAATGTGTAATTTACCTTCAATATATTTGTATACTTAATGTTTGGACACAGTGAAACTTTGTATACTTATTTTGTTAGGTAAATATCAACTATTATAATCAGTTCAATCAGTGTTGTCACAAATTAGTTATTTAATTATTATTATGGTACTAAGAAAAAAATTTTTTATCAGAAATTAGTACAAATTTTCGATTAACTGCCTACATGTTTTTGGGGCACGTACTTTTGTTGTCCCTATGATGTTTGATCGTACCTGTTTATTACAACATAAATTCTCAAAACAAAACAAACATTGGCCTTAAACTCGGTACAATGTAATTCTCAATCTATTGTCGCAATGTAATTTAAATTAATTTCTACGATAAATTTCACAAAAAACTTAGTACTGTTACGTACTTTGTATTTACAGATAAAGATCATTGTACTCCTTACCGCATGTGTCAGTGTAATAAGGACACATCTGCAAAATGATAACTTTTGAGGAGAGAGGTTTAATGATTCCACGAATTATATTAGTCCACAATTTGTTTATGCTTAAATATGTTTCACGTAGTTCGTTTTATTTTTATTACTTTCATGTGATAAAAGCACTTTTCACGGATGATCACTTGTGGATTCATTATACCAAGTGCATGATATATTTATTTTGACTTTCGAGTATGAGTAAGTCCTCCAAAAGGATTAGTTATTTATTAAATTATATGAATAGGTGATTTATAAGCTGTATTTTAAAAAAGAGATTATCGACATAATGCAATGTTACAAAATAAATATAATTATTAACTTTTCGCCTTGTTTTGTTCTTTGAATGTATGTCGTTCATCCTTCTATAGTAATAACAGTCATATTTTTTATCGAGGAACTAAAACGAGCCAATATTATACCCGAGGTGGTTAGCCACCCAACCTTTAGCGAGTCTATTATTCCGAGGCTTTATATTATGAGCTTTTACTCTCAAGGTGAAAACTTACTTGTCGTTTCGATTGCGAGAAGAAAAAATGTTTATTTCAATTGTTTACACTCTACAACAAAATCACGAACCCAATGATTTTATATACAAAAAAACAAAATGCTGAGTTTCGCGGCATTTTTTTTTACCATCCACACAACAAACGGAACAATATGCCACGATTAGCGGTCTTTGCCAGTCATGAGGTTCTGTGATCATGAGCATTTTTCGAACGATTTAATATCACTAAAATGGTCCGCATTAACGCGGGAAAATAATATGGCGCCACCGTTTATGCGTAGTTTTCGTAACGAAGATATGATGAAAGTGGTCCACACACAAGTTCTTTCCGTAGCGCAGTGGTCTCTATATGTTTATTTACTTTGATAAATTGTATCTTTTTTGTGATTATTTTGAAGTGTTGTTTTAGTTGTAATTATATTGTTTCAGTTATTGAACTTTTACCTTTTGGCACAAACTAGAGCATAGTTTCCTAAAGTGGTTCGTACCGTCCCCCAATGGGCGCTGTAAGTCCTAGGGTAGGAGTCTCGGAAGCAATTTTTTAATTAATGATAATAATAACGCTATAATAAAAATTTTGTGTGTACTCAACATAGCCTCGCATTATGGAAACCCTGTGTCACGGGTGCCATGGAGACACACATTCATAACCGCAAATGACACACAAACTCACGAGAGAAATAAATGTAGGCCATACAAATATTTCTCCCGGCCCGGTCATCTGGCATGGTAATCGTTAGGCCACAGAGACAGTTAAATTATTTTTATAAAAATTGGGGGCATTGATACCGTCTAGAGGGTGCTACCGCATTTGAAAAAGAAACCTGAATTATCTATATAAACTACACTACACAATTATATATACACTACCTATACATATAATTTTCTTCCTTGTGATTTTATTGTGTTATGTTAATACCAAAAATATGTGTTTGCAATTCTTTTTTATGGTGGTGGGCCATGGGCGTTGAAATTTTTTTATGTTGCCCGAGTGGGGAGTGGGTTTATTGAAGTTAGGAAATAAAAAACAAACATTTTATATCAATGACATTTATTTCATTGTATGTACAAAATCTTATATATCTATTCGTTTTCATACAAAAGTGTCGCAACTGTAACGTGTTTCAATATTTGGAATGTTAAGACACTATTTTCATTGGCTTTTTACAATCTCTAGGGCGATAGAATGGTTAATTTATTAAAGCACAGTTTTAATACTTTTTAAAGGCGTCGAAAACGAGAACTGCGACCATCCACACACGGGCATAAGCCACAACAACATTAAGGGCCAACCACGGCGATAAGACATAGCTGCGTGGTGAACATCCTTGCCTTATCATGGACACACTGCAGTATTCTTCGACCATAGTATTTATGTAGACTGACCTCTAAGGACGCTTTCAAATTAGACGCTTATAGAAGCTCTGCTGCATCTGTTTTTGTACCTGTCTAGATGTAATTAAGTTAGTTTTTAAGATTTTTGCTGTAAGATTATATTGTATTTTTACTTAAATAAACTCCTTCGCCGCGGATAAAGCCGAAAAAGGAAGGGCTTTTGTGAGCTTGTAATTAGTTTTTTTTTTTTTTTTTTTGGTCAATAAACTAAAAAAAGCGAATTTGTGTCGCAGCAGCCGCTTCACTACTAATTTTCATTCAATATCTAGAAGCGCAGTAGCAGCGCCACTGTTGTACGCAGACATAATTAGTGAAGTAAAATTTTTACGCTATTCTATTTTTAAATTGGTACGCGTGGCTGCCGCGCCACAGTGGCGCCACTGCAGCGCTTCTATAAGCGCCTAATTTGGGGACGCCCTATAGGTTAATCTGCGACTACAAAACGAATGTACCTTTACCTTGAATTCAGAGTTTATAGTCGCTAGTGACCGCTTAAAACATTTTGTATGGTTAATTGCATTTCTTCTTGTGACCGCTAGGGGCCACTTTACATTTTCAATAGAAATATTTTAAGCGGTTGTCAAGAACTTTTATCACCGTAGCTCTCATGTTCACATTACAAAACGTGATGATTTTCCTTCTTGGCTGTGGCGAGCCAGTGTCCGAATAGTCCTAGCAGTAAGTTGATACAACTTGTCAGTGATCAGTCGATATTAGAATCAAACTAGCAACAATTAACAATTTAGAATTAACATTATGATTTTTAGCTGTTTAGCAGGATATTGGTCAAATTAATTAATTTAAAGTTATACAGGTCACAAGGTCTAACTATACTAGAAATTAAATACGTTCCGTCTACAATCATTCGTTCTTAATATACAATTAACTCTTTGGTATACGGTCCTAAAGCTAGCTTCATTTGTCTTTTTACATATGGGATGTTTGCCCCTTTGCAAATGTTTAGAATTTCAAAATATTGCATGTATACATGTTTATCCTAAAATAGTTAATTTTGTTCAGGGCTAGCACGTTAGGGCGCGACTAGCGCGACAGCGACATATAGCGCGAGATACTGATTTTCTCGCATAGATATCTCGCGCTTTATGTCGCTCTCGCGCAAGTAACGTCTTATCGTGCTAGCCTTACAGGAAAACTAAGAAAGATTCCAGAGGAATTTCAAATCTAATTTCGTGTGATAGTGACAATTAACAACGCGTAATAATGTAAATAAGGCTATCGGCGCAAAAGTGGTGTACCCCACATTCTACAATATTCCTTTTTAATGATACTCATAATTACATAATATTGTAGGAAGAAAATTAAATGTGGGTTACACCACTCTTGCGCTGATAGCTTCAAATAGTTCTGGAGGTCTGATTCTCGTATGCTGCGATCCGAGTTTCGAAACAATATCGCATGCTCTACGTAATCTTTGTTTTGTCAATTGCTTTTAAACATAATAGATAATGATTTTGTACGTTCTTGATTGAAACTACTGAATGACGCGCATATTTCTTCGCTACTTTATTGTGGTGTTTTTTATCATACGAGAATAGGCCGTTAGACATGTCGCTTGCATTGATCTTTAAGTCGTACATCGCATGTGCCTTATTCAGCGGCGTGATTTCCGCTAGATTTGTCCAGCCTAATAAGGATTTTATATTCGTAATTGGCTAAGCTTCGATTTAAGTTTTGCAAAGGAGCCAGTGTTTTGTTAGTATTAATGGGCTTGAGAATAAATTTGTACAAATTAGTGGGGAAGTGTGTAACTTGACAATTATTTTGTAGGTTTTTAATAATGAGACGTGTTGATGAACCGAGATCTTGAAAGGGCCTTATGTGATACAAAAATATCACATTTCACTTTTAGAATATGAAAATATTGGGTTCAATTCTGTTGAATATTTTCCTAAAATTTGACAAGGTTCATTGATTTGTAAATTGAGGCTATCAGCGCAAAAGTGGTGTAAACCCAAAAATTTTTTTTTTACAATATTATTAAATAAAGTACATAATTATTTTATTTATTATTAGGGTGGCTTCATATGGGGCCTATTTGAATGCTATTTTCATGTATAAAAATATTTAATTATAAACTTTTTAGGATACATGAAAACAGCATCCAAATATAAAATAATTATGTACTTTAGTATCATTTAAAGTGATACTGTAGAAAAAATAAAATAAAATGTGCGTTACATCACTTTTGCGTGATAGCCTCAATTATGGGGCGTGTCTTGTGTACCACAACATATTAAAGGACTGAGAAACGTCGTCAGTTTCAAAAAACGGACCAAATTTCTTATGACAAGTCATAGGAAATATACAGGGTGCCTACGAGTATGGCACTTGTAGAGCACGTATCGGTTTTAGTACTGAACTGAACATCTTTGTTAAATACGCAACAAATAGTCCATACACAAATTCACACTGAACTCTTAGAGTAGGCAAAGTTGTATATTTATATCTCTTTCGCAAAATTTTAAATATAGCTGTATAACAGCCGTTGCATTTGAAGAGTAGAATCAATACTAGCTCTTGAAGCCCTAGCTTGTACATAGATATATATCCGTCCTGGTCTTTTGTTTACAATTAAAAGAAAGACCATTTAACCCGTCCCATTAGAAATATGCACAACAGAAAACAACATTGAACAACTTGCAAATGTTATTGCGTTTCATGTAGTGAACAATTTTTGTACAAAATGCAAAGGAATATCCTACATTTGTGCTTAAGCTAGCAATTGCTAATAAATAAGTAAAATGGAAAATAGAGTACCTGATTACATGGACTTATATATGCGTATTCCCATACTTATTTAGGCAGTGAGCCTTTTAAAATTCTAATTAGAAGTAAGAACCACGAAACAGAAGTGAAAAAGCCGATGTTCAATAAAAATGACAAGCTCACACTTTCCTGTATTCTTTTAGTTGCTTTTTCGAGTATAAAAATACTAAAAAATTTCAATGACAGCATGTATGTGAATCAGCCTTTTTTTAAGTGTAATTTTTGTAGTGACTTGTTCTTATCTTTAAGGCTGTGGTGTATCCACACACTCGCTAATTCGTTTCATTCGCTAAGAGGACCTTACACAATCGTCTCACACACACTATGTCACTATATCACAGCACTAGTCTTGCACTTCTCTGTACGGTATCTCACTGGTCACTGTGAACGACTCGAAATAGTGATTAAGGAACTCGAACGTTGGCCTCTTTTCCGGTATCGCGTCCCAACACTGCAGCATCAGTCTGTAGATATCGTCCGGTAGATAATGTCCCACCGGTTTAGGCATTCGATACCCTCTCTCCACTTGTTCTATTACTTCCTTGCCGTGTAAACCGGGATATGGGATCTGCCCGTACGTGAACAACTCCATTAACAAGATACCATACGACCAAACGTCACTTTTTATCGAGAATCTCCCGTAAATGATTGCTTCGGGCGCGGTCCATTTAACTGGGAACCGCGAGCCCTGTTTGGGGCAGTATTCATTGTCTTCGATCACCCGCGCGAGTCCAAAGTCACATATTTTGGCTATATTGTTTTCACCGATTAGAACGTTTCTTGCTGCGAGGTCGCGGTGGATGAGGAGTTTAGACTCGAGGTACTCCATTCCGGAGGCGACTTGCGCGGCGATGTATACTAGGTCCTCGAACTGGAGGAACTTGCCCTCTCCGTTTCTCAGGAAGTCGAGCAGAGATCCCTTGCTCATGTACTCCTGGACTATGTAGACGGGCTCTTGATGCGAACAGACGGCGTATAGAGCGACCAGCCGTTTGTGCCGAAACTGTTTCATGATAGCTGCCTCTTGCAGGAACGCCGCTGTTGACATCGTGCCTTCGCGGAGTGTTTTCACTGCCACCTGCAATCACAAACGTAAGTTCAGTTCTGACTAACATCTACTAACTAACACATTTGACATTTTCGTCGTAATAACTCACTTATAGAACAAGTCTGAGAGCAGCTAGGGTCAAGATGTAAACTGCTAAACCGAAAACTACGACAGTTTACCAGTAGAGGGGCAAATCTGCTTATTGCTATTAAGTACCACGTTGTCTCAAGTTATTGCGTTGATAAAAGGATCGCAGTATTGTCAAGCATATATAATAATAAAGATATATATATTTAAAGAAGGTTTCAGGTCAAGAGTGAATTAGTAATTTCCTTTTTCTAGATGAAAGTTCGGAGTACAATAATTTCAATCTAACTTTCGTAGTAATATGAAGTTTATTGACTATCACCTATTTGTTTTACTACCATGATATTATTTTTTCTTTTTGTAAAATTATTCCACTAGGTTATAATTATTAATACAAAGATCGAACACAGAGAAAAATTCGTTCGATCCGGCTGGCTTCGAACCAGTGTCTTCAACATACCAGGCCGACGTTCTCCCAACAGATAATGTTCCCAACTAAGCTACAGAACGAACCAGCATACTCAACGAATTTTTCTATGTGCTTGTTGCAGATCTATGTTTGTGATTTTTTAGCCGACTTCAAAAAAGGAGAAGGCTCTTTTTTGTATGTAGGTTATATATAATAATAACTGATTTGTGAACCAATTTTTAGGATTCTTTTTTTGTTGGAAAGAAGGTACTTCAGTAGTGGTTCCATTTAAATTTAAAGAAAACATTCCACCTCTAAGGGCGGCAAACTAGGAGATGAAGGACTTTTGAGGTCGGATTTGTTTTTAGTATTCTGTACAGAGATTAGTAACGACTTTTTTGCCGTAGCGCATCTATGAGAAATCTATGAAAGATTTTTTGTTTTTCCACAATAATCTTTCGCATTTCTTTCTTAAACTTCGAAATCAACTATCTCACAAAATCAATAACTTACCTCAATCGTATTTCTCCACTTCCCGTAATAAACTTCTCCGAAGTTTCCCTGGCCGAGTTTCTTTATGAGCTGAATCTCATTCCGGGGGATCTCCCACTTGTCCCGGAGCTCGGGGCCGAGGTCCCACATCTGCGGTTCGGGCTTGGGGCACGGCCGCGCTAGCACGTGGCAAAGACCTAGCGCGTTCTCTGCAATACGTGAGTATCCTTTATTTATATTACGTTGGTTACTACTTTTAACATGCATGCGATGAAATTCGTTGTTAAGAATTTGTTACTATAGTGTAACCTAGCTGCCAAGGCAGTTTCTGCTTCACATACTAAGTATGTGAAGCAGAAACTACTTCTGCAAAAAGTGTAGCAGTAGAGCTTCTTGTGAAATTGTTCGTCCAGGGAAGCACTGCCACCTTACCTATTTCTACCGTCAAGCAGTAATGTGAGCATTACTGGGTTACATTAAGGGTCAACTTATGTCTCGGGGTGACGGGTGAAGTGGCAGTGTCCCTCAGATCTTTGTGGAGTGGCACTGCAACTGTCGTGGATAGGCGTGTCGCTTACCACCACCTGTTTTTCCTATCGCTTGATATAATAAAAAAGTATCTATGCAATTAGGTTTAACGACAGTAACCGTGATGTCATTAATAGCGTTGCGGTGAAATAGTGAATTGAGTTTGTGGCGATTCCTGACAACTATGATCGAAAGGGCTATACAGGGTGTCCCAAAAATACTACGACAAAGCGGCACTGTGGGTAGATGAGATCTATACCTATCAGAAAAAAATAATTAGACTTTGGTAAATCGAGATGTTGACACTTTTTTAATTTTTATACAAGGTATAACCAAATTAATAACTTTTTTCACATTTTATTATATTTCTCCGTAAAATATTAGTTGCAGTACCTGGAAAAACTATTCAGAATATGCAAAAATAAAAATAATAACCATCTGGGGCTAACCCTGGCTATAATAGCATAATAGTAGAGGTTAGCCGAAGCCGTGGTAGCCTAATGGTTTGACATGCTGCCTTTCAAGCAGAAGGTTGTGGGTTCAAATTCGGGATCGCACTTATGAGTTTCTCGGAGTTTATGTGCGACATTTAATTTCAAATTTATCATGAGCTTTTCGGTGAAGGAAAACATCGTGATGAAACCTGCACGTGGAAGAAGGTTCACAACCCTCGAAAAACGAGTGAAGTCCCCAACCCGCATTAAGCCAGCGTGGCGGACTATGGCCTAAACCCTCGTCTGAAAGGAGACCCGTGCCCAGCAGTAGGACATATAAATGGGTTGACGATGATGAGTAGAGGTTATACAAAAAAAAAATTGCCAATATCTCGAAAACCAAAAGACTTACTAAGGTAAAATTATTTTTTTCTGGTAGGTGTAGAGCTCACCTCACAGTGTCGCTTTATCGTGGTATTTTCGGGACACTCTGTATGATAGAAACAGTTAAAATGAAGCATAACTCACTCGTATAAGACATAACAAGGGCAGGTAAACTAGGGAAGGTCTGGTTGGTCGCGATGTAAAATCCCCCGTTGTCGAGCGGTTTGATTTTGTAATGCTTTACGTGGTACCCCCTGCCCTCCTCCCAATCCTTAACACTAAGACTGAAGCCGTGGGGGTTGTGTTCCGCAGGCCGGACTAGGAAGGTCCCTCTAGGGTTGATTTCAGCCAGGAGGAGTTTATCCGCTTCTTTTCTTGATACGTGCGGAAAGAACCAGCTGCAACATGACGTCGGCCTTTAGCAAAAAGTCAAAGATTAGATTTAGGGATGGAGTTTGGACCTTAACCGATACCCAATACTCCATCACCAGTGGTCATGCTGGGGATTAGTCGAAACGCGTCTTGGAACGAAGCAGTTACATTGCGAAGTATCATCCCCTGGCCTTTGAAAGGGTACTCCAGCTAGAAATTAAATGCAGGTTAGCGCTCTTGCGTTATCGAGGAAGATTATCGGTTACTAGCAGCATCTTTATTTACAAGCATTATTAATGTTTGTCTATTGTAAAAAGAATTCGTTTACCAAGAGAAGAAGTAAAATTATTTTAGCATAACATTTATTCACTATTAGCATAGTTCGTTAAGTATAGTCTCATTTCTTGCAGAAATCATATCTTGACGGCACTAGTAGTTAACAGCAAAACAAAAGACACTCACTCTTCACACTCGACAGAACTTTCTTCGGCGACGAAATTAACCGGCACAAGTCCTTCTCTCCTGGTAGTAAGATGTAAGACGCGCCACCAGTCCGGTTCGGAATCGTTGAGCACTTCCATCTTGTCACCTTTGCGGAACGAGATATCCGAGTCTGCTCGCGCTGTGTAGGCGCATAGCGCTTTAACAACACGACGACCGCCGTTCGATATGCCTGTAATGTTACGGAAATAACATTAGGGATTTCTACACCAATAATTTTCTAGTTATTTTTAATTGAACTTACGACTCATCTAAGGGTCGTATTCCACAATTCTACTCAATACTCAAGTCAGGACTTGGGTATTGCAGTGAGCACTAAAAATCATACTCAAGTCCTTGCCATTAGGGTCGTATTTCCAGTGCTTGAAATCATACTCAAATCTGCTCAAATCCTGACTTGAGCATTGAGTAGAGTTCCGGAATATGACCCTAAGAGACGCATTCTGAATTACTAGTTCGGAGAGATTTTCTGTCATTTCCATTGCAATAGATTAATAGCACCACTACACGTCTTTTACTCAAAGCGAACATAGACTTAATTATCTTGGTCCATCGCACGAGTCAAGTCATGGGTGCGCTAAATGTGCGCTGAATTCTAGTTTTGAATGATTTCTTTACTTATCACGTTGTTTTTTTAAACTATTATTATTTCGTAAAATACCAACTGCCGACTCTTTTCTTACTAATTCAACAAGGTTAGTTCTGCATGAAGATTATCAAGTTTAGAAGTAAAAGTACCTATTTAAACTAGTTGTTTGCGCTATTCGTATACAGATGGCACGTGTATTACCGAGACGGCTCACTTTTTTGTCCTATTGTACTCTAAAAATGAAGCCAGGTAAGATAAGACCAATCGGTGCAAATAATATTTCATCAACTATAACATTGAATGCGACATATGTGGGTCAAATATAGCCACGCTTGGGAATGCAGGGTGTAAGATTCAATTTATATTGCCGCGGGACGGAATTTTTAAACATAGTATGTAGAACTTTATATCAATAATTGTGTTGCGAAAGTTTGCTTCCATTCCGGTCCGCACTAATGTAAATTGAACCTAACAAAGAGGTTCGACTATTTTTCACTGGAAAAAAAAGAAAAATACTAAGTAACAAATACTGACATTTGCCAGGGTTGCGTGCTCGCACGAAGTCCACGTTGTGATTGGTTCGCACGCGGTTGTTAGGCTCGCCCGTGTACCGGGTCTCCAACGACGGGCACGCGGTGAACGCGGCTTCATTCTTCTTGTACGCTGGGTACACTAAAATATGGGAGAAAATAGAACTTAGATTGTTGTCAAAGTAGCGGATCAACATTCAGCGGAACATTTCCTACAACAACTAGTTACTAAGTTAAAGAAATTTTATAAAATAACCACAACGTCGCTTTGAGAGAAAACCTCGCATACGCGTTTTCACATGGTTCGTTTTTACTGGTTTTTGTTGAAGAAAAATTTACAAACTTCTTGCTTAAAAAATATTATTGTAATATAGGCAGAAAGAGGTATGAGTTAACTAATTAAAATGATAACTACATACATTATTGCGTTTAGTACATTTTACACCACATTTTTATCTTCTTCCTGAAAAATTACATAGAAATCACGTACGAGGTATTCACTCTAATAGTCGTATTCCAGAATTCTACTCAATGCTCAACTCAGGACTTCAGTATTTTTTTTTTAAATAAATAACGCACACACTCAACATAGCCCTGCACTAGGGAAACCCTGTGTCGCGGGTGACATGGACACACACATAGACAACCACAAATTACACCCAAACTCACGAGAAAAATAATTGTAGACCATACAACTATACAGTTAAGGACTTGAGTATGCTGTCAAACACTGGAAATACGACCCTAATGGCAAGGACTTGAGTATGATTTTCAGTGCTTCAAATCATACTCAAGTCATTACTTGAGCACTGAGTAGTTCTGGAATACGACCCTAAGATGACTATAAACACCAACCGGTTCGAAATAACGAAAAATATCGGAATTTTCAAACCGATTTCGATAAAGCCAGAGTTGTACGATTTAGATTACTTATTATCATCATCTTAAGGCGAGATATTTCAAAGCGAGCCTACATTTAGGAGATGAGGTGTGGGGGGAGCGCCTCTCGCGTCCAGCATTCTGTGCGCTAGAAATTAATATGAATAAAATAAGAATAGGCGGAAAAAACATTATAGCGGGCGGTGCGGCGTGTTTTATTTTATCCTGTTTTCAGGATTATATATGATCGGGTAAAGAACATAAGTAGCAGTAGAGCTCCTTGTGAAAAAGTTCGTCCAGGGAAGTGCTGATGAAATTACAGGCACATGGGACTTATCAACTTATGTCTCAGGGTGACGGGCGCAGTGCGATTTA